GTACAACAGATTAAAGTAGTTAAAATAAACAGATTGAATTATAATTTAAAAATCAGACATAATTTGGATTAAAGCAGCAGGAAACCTCTTGTTGTCGTCGTCTCTGAGCTTCCTGAGCCTCTTTGTCTTTCTGCAGAGCCGCAGCAGATTTAAAAAGCTCCAACTTCTCCCTGAAGAACAAACGACACAGCTGTGAGAAAATCTGAACAGGAAGCTGCAGAAAACTGCACGTGCACACATGTACCGATCCAGTTTCTGAAACTCCTGGTCCAGCAGGCTGAAGGCAGTCTGGATCATTTTCATGGCCTGGTCTCGCACCATGCTGAAGTCTCTGTGGGCGAACACCTACAGCAGGAAACATCAGATTATCTACAGCTGTGTTTGAACCTGACACACAAACCAGGTGTGTGTTCTACCTGTACACCAGCTGCCGTGGTCCTGGGCTGGTTAGACGGAGCCGGCTCGCTCAGATCGTAACGGACATTTGGGACTTTGGTGGGAGTGAAGCTGTCGGCGGTTAAAACCAGAAAGAAACCAGAGGTTTTAAAAGTGAGACTGAAGCAGAGCGTGACATTACGCTGAAACTGCTGAAACTAAGAATTTGAATGTGAAACAGAGAAACAGCTGACCTGTGGCTGACGCCCTGCAGACCCAACTCTGACAGAATCTCCTTCATCACTGAAAACAAATCAGCCCACAGAAACAGGTATAACTCACAGGTTTACAGAGTTCCAGATAAAATGTGGTCAACTGTGGTTTGGTACAATCCAGTAAGTCACTTTAGGAATGATCCAACGATCCTAAAGGGCCATTATCAGTCTGAAGGAGATGTATGATCTAAAAGAGCTGTTGTTCAATCCCATAGTACCATAGTACAACTGAAAAGGGCCATTTTACAATGCAAAAGGACCATCATCCCATAGGGTTCTTGTATGATCCAAAATAGCCATCATACGAACCAAAGATTCACAGACAATCCAACAGGGTCTTCGTACAAACTGACAGGGTCATCATACAATTCAAAAGGACTATAGTACAATTTGAAAGGGCTATCATATTATCTGAAAGGGCTGTCGTACAATCCCCTAATGGCCTTTGTACAAACCGAGAGGACCATGGTACAATTCCATTGGGTTTTTGTACAATCCAAAACAGCTGTCATACGAACCAAAAAGGCAGTCGTACAATTCAAAAGGGCCATCGTATTATTCCATAGGACCTTCGTACCATCATACTATCTGAAAGTACCATCATACAATTCTGTATGGCTGTTGTACAATCCAAAATGGCCATCATACGATCCAAAGAGTCACAGACAATCCCATAGGGCCTTCAAACAATCCAGAAGGCCATGGTTCAAAAGGATCGTAATCCGAAAGGKCCATTGTATGATCCCATTAGGATGTTATATGGACCAAAGGCCAGTCGTAATTCAAAAGGACCATCATATAACCACTTAGGGATGAAGGGTAGTCCTACAATTCGAAAATGCCATCGGATTATCCGATCTATTTTAAGATGTAGTAGGGCTGTTGTATGATGTTAAGGCAGTTTTTCGATCCAACAGGGCTGTCGTGTGATCTAGTAGGGCTGCTTTACAGTCCAGTACGGAGTAATACAGTCTGGTAGGGTAGCTGATGATCAGATAGGATTGTCCAGCAGGGCAATCMTACAGGAATCTGATAGGACAGTAATACGTCCAATAGGATGTAAGACACCAGGAGTCCACAGAACGTGTCCTCCCAGTGGTTGGTTTGTAATTACTTTCGATTTAAAATCAAAAACCTGAAAACACGTGATCTAAAGACGGCTGGAGATACTCAGGACTAAATGAGGTTTATAACTAGACTCAATCTTTAACCCAGCTATTTGTTGGGTTCAAGCTCTGTTAATAATAAAAAACAGCTAAAGCACTGAGTTATAGTAGCTGAAAGTACCTGGTTGTCTTTCAGAAGGGTTAATGAGTTTCATCACCTTCAGGTCATTAAAATCCTGCTCCTCATTTTTCCCTCCGAACACGTAGAGCTGCAACAAACAGTTTTCTTTTACAACAGTCACAACAATAAATCTGATCAGATATGGATGTTTCTGCTGACGTGGCTGTGCAGGATGAAGGCGGCGTGGCCGTGCCGACGAGCCGGAGGAATCCCAACATACAGAGGAACCTTCCACTTCATCTTCGCTGAGGAGACACGACACAAATCARACTGTTTTTACTACGTCACGGTTATAAATGCTGAGTCAGCACTCGCTCTGCTGGTTCCATGATTTTTTACTTTTCACAACGTTTCTTTGTACCGTTTTAGCCGTTCATACATCAAAACAATCAGCTCAGTCAGAAGACGGGTGCTACGACTTTTGGTTTTTATAATTTTTAACATTTTACAAAATACTTACTTTTTAAAAAATATTTTCTGTCTTAACTTTAAATATTTCCAATTCCCACAAAAACATTATTCTATTTTACATCTGTTTCAGCGTGTCTTCTTCTGTTACTTTTAGCTAGCCTTTTGCTACTTTTAATCAGCATTTTTTACTACTTTAGCTTTTTTTAAACTTTTTATACTTTTTGTTAGCATTGTGCTACTTTTAGCTTCTAGTCAGCCATTTGTAATTTTTACTTTTTAGTGAACTTTTGCTTTTTGGCTACACTTTTCTACTTGAACTTGTAGCTAGCCTTTCAACCCTTTTAGCTACTCTTTAGCTACCTTAGCTTTTATCTACTTTTCATCTATTTTAGTGTTCATTTGAAGTTTTTCCTTTACAGTAGCTTATCTTTAGCTACTTTCAGCATTTAGCTATCATTTTGCTTCATTTATAAGTGATTCTGCTGATTTAGCGTTTAGGTAATGCTTTGCTTCTTTTAGTTTATAGCTAGTTTTGTGCTTTGTTTAGTTTTAACAGCTGAGTTTCAGCTGTTGTGCAGCAGATTTTAGCTGTGGTTGAGCTCTTCTTTGACGTACCGATGCTGAGTTTATGGATTTCGTTGGACGATGTCTCTGAACCGTCATCGTTTGTGATTTTGCCTCCGAACATGTAGATGTCCTGGAGGAGGAAATAAAAACAGAATTTATTTGATTTGAAAGATTTTAATTATTTGACTTGTTCCTAAAGACACAACTCAAACAGGAAGTGATGAATAAAACACAGGGAGTGATGAATAAAGCACAGGAAGTGATGAATAAAGCACAGGAAGTGATGAATAAAA